AGGGTCTGCAACAGGGAGGCAACTGGATGGCTGATAGTACGTACCCCAGAGAGCCAGGTAGTTGCAGGAGAGTGATTACAAATGAATTGGCACTCCCCCCCACCCTCAAAGCACAGTAAAGTAGCACTAAAATCACCCCAGGGTCCAGACCTCCCAGGCTAGGTTCAGCGAAGCACAGGGAGCGTGGTCTGCGGTGGCTGCAGCGAGGCCAGGAGCTCGAACGCCTTTTCTTCGCCAGTGCTGCAGTCGCCGCGGCTTCTCTTCTGAGGAGGAGTTGGTTCTCATCTTAGGCTTTTGCGGGGGTGCCTGGGGGGCGTTCCTGCCACTGCCAACTCTTGGAGCTGCTCCGTGTCTTGGCTGGGGCCCCAGGCATGGGGCCTGGGGGCGGGGGCTGCTCAGGGAGCCCAGTGGGGGGGGGGCAGCCAGTGCCCTCAGGAGTCCCCACCGAGAAGCCCTTTCTGAAAGATGCAGGGAGGCGGCACCTGCTTCTTTCCGTCACTGCTATGGGCTGTGTTCTCTGGTGACAGAGACACGGGACAGCTGTCTCTGCCCCTGCCCTGGGCTTGTCGTCCCTGTGACGGTGGAATGGTTCCCTTGCCCTGGTGCTCTTCTCACCCACATGACATGGTGACTGGAGCAGTGAGCTGCCTGTCACTCTGCTGCCAGCTTCTGTCTTGGAAGAGACAGTCCTTATCCAGGTTCTGGAAATGTAGTGGCTGGGGTCAGGCCAGTTCTGAGGCCAAACGAGGAGACGCTCTCCCTGCTTCCAGGTTACGTTCAGCTTTGGGACATGCACAGCTGCATGTGTCGAGGCAGCTCCCCCTTCAGCTGTAGTCTGAGTTCCTGGGTCTACACTTCTATCCTCCAGGGAGCAAGATGCTGGCTTAGATCTTACGCAGCCAGTTCACCTCTGGCATTCTGATGGGAGACTCCAGGAGTTGGACAGAGGATGCAAGGAGCCGCTAATGTTGGCCATGGCCATTCGGGGCTGGCGGTCGGCTTTCTAGCCACGCCCTGCCTGGGGCCGCCGTGACACCATGGTGTGAGTCAGTGGCAGGTCATTCTTGTGCAGTGTTCTGGTGGTCTGCCTTGCCCGCCACAGACGTGTCCAGTGGTTGCTGGCTGAGCCTGGACTCCCTCGGGCGAGGAGGCAGGAGCTCTGTAAAGTGTCTTCCCTGCCCTGGAGGCAGAGTGGGGGAGGACAGCTTCAGCACTCCGCTCACCACTGTGTCTTGCCCACAGCCAGCATCAGTCAGCATCCAATCATGCAAACAAGCCAGTCTAAATGCTTAAAGCAGGGGTGAGTACTGTTAAACTCAGAAACCAGAAGAACTGAGAGGCAAAACTGGAGCCTGAGGGCAACCCAGAGATGGGGACAGTGACAGGCAGCTGCCCCCAAGGCTGCTGGGCCATGGGAGTGGCTGGGGTGCCGCCCTAGAGGCAGGGGGACTGGACAGCAGCCGGCCAACAAAGACCATCCGGTCAGTGGCGGCTGTTGCTGGACCCATGAAGAGGCCAGGTCCCCGCCCCAGACCTCCTCATTAGCCAGCTGCAGCTGGAAGCCGCCGACCTGGGAACCGGGCAGGTCTGCAGTGCCCACGCCACCACTCAGAGCAGCAGGCGGAGAGCCTGGCTCCGAGGGCAGCAGGCCCAGGCCTGCATGGCCTTGGTCTGCTGTCTGGTGTGGGAGCCTGATGTTTTCGCCCACGCTTTGTAAGACTGTAGGATGGAAGGAGGAGCTTTGGGTTTGTGGGTCCTCTTTCACCCTACCTAGAGAGCAAAGTGCTTTGGGGGGGAGGAGGGAGAAGAAAACCTTTTATCTTTAACAGTTGTCCCTGTTTTCCTTTGGGAGAATTTAGTGTCCCCGCCCCACCTCCCCTCTCAGGAAAGCCATGTCCCAGTTTTCTGTCCACCACTCCCTATTCTTCTTTCCCCAATTCCTGGTATTCCCTGCCAGGGAATACTAACCCAATCCATGCATCCGTGGTCATGAGTGTTTCCCCAGGATAATCCATTCAGAGCGTGTAATTACAGTGTGTGGACTGTCTGTCTGTATGTAGATGCCATCTACTAATCAATTTGTATCGTGTTTCCAATAAATTTCTGGAAATGAGGCCTGGTTTTATGCTGTGCTTTGCCGGGACAGTGGCTTAGCCTAGGCTGGGCTGTGCACCCTCTCCGTCCCGGCCAGGTGCTCCTGGCCGCCTGCTCCCTCCGCCTGTGGAGCTGAGGCCAGGCTGCTTGGTCTGGTGGCTTAACAGCTACCCCGCGACTCTCAGAGGCCTTCTCCCAGGATCAGCGTTTCCCTCTGCTGGCTCCTAAGCCACATCCTGGGGACATGGAGGTTTTGTGAGGTTACCCCAGCGGCCTCTGACAAGCCCAGTGGACGGGCCGCCCACAGCCACTCCTGCACTCTGCCTGGGGGTGGGTGGCGGGACGCACGCTGGCGGCTCAGACAGCGAGCAGAGGGAGCACGCTGTACCGTGGAGGGGAAGGCTCCTGGGCGGCGAGCCGGCACCGGCACCGCGCCTTACACGCATGGACATCCAGCACCCCCTTTTGCACCCCACCCTCCTCAGGACTGTGAAGTCAAAGGAAGCCAGTGGAGGGCAGGCAGCCTGGTCTAAATGTGGGACCCAGGTCTGAGTGCTGAAACCTGCCGCGTAGAAGTTCATCTCTGCTTGCGGTTTCATTGGCTCACACCTCTTTGAAGTGCAGACTCGGCCTCGGTTGCTGTGCTGAGTCCATGTGAACTCACTTGGGACCCCTCCAGCCCATATTTGTGAGCTATGGCCCTTGTTTACAGGGATGAATGAGAAATTCAAGAGAGACAGAGACCAATTTTTTTTTTCCAAATGTTTCACTAAAAAAGCAACATTTACAGATAAGGTCATTGGAGAAGAAAGGTGGCATCTGCGTGTGGGAGCTTTGGGACTGAGGGGTCAGCTGGCAGCCCTAGTGGTCACGGAAACAGACGGATCTCTCAAAGTGGCACCCAGCAGCCTTAGAAGTCCCTCAGGTGTCCTGTGGTTCTGGATGTCCTAAGGGAAAGACTTTTTTCTTTAATAATACAATAGTTTATTTTTACATCATTTTGTGCCTTTTTCCATCTCAGTTGTAATCCCCGTGGGCTTCCCATCACCAAATCACCCGTGTGCCATCACCATAGTCCAGTGCACTTCCCTCCCCCCACCATTTTTTTTTTTAAGATTTATTTATTTATTCATACAGAACTAGGATACAGGCCAGAGATGTGGAGGGTGAGAGGATTCACCAGGGACAGAGTGGGGTGCAGAACAGGCAGATCGACGAAGTACAACTGCTGAAGGGAGCAGCGGGTGGGTCAGGAGAGGTCTGCCACGCCATGTGGATCTCCTCCAGGGCAGGCGGGGATCGAACTCATGTGGAAGTGGCTTAAGCTTCTTAATGTTGTGCTTTAACCCGCCGTGTCACCAGCGTTTTTGACCCCACCCCCCACCATTTTTGACCCCATCCCCCACTCCACCCCCGTAAAATGTCTCTGGTCTATAGCTGTCCATTATTATTATTTTCTCGCCTGGTCCATTATACTCCTGCTATGAGTGAAACCATCCGGTCTTTTTCCTTTTATTTCTGGCTTATCTCACTAAGCACGATCTTTTGGGAAAGACTTTTTATCCTGACTCTGATATCTTTGCCTTTCTGGGGGTTCGTCCACAGAGCTCGGTGTGGCACGCCCGGCCTCTCAGGGTGTGCCTCACTGGATCCCATTGTCAGGACTTGGTTTGGAAGGTTGAACTTCTTCCTAAGCAGTTTCTTCTGAGAAGCTGTAAATTCGTTTTTCCTGCTCTTGCTCCCGTACTACTGGGTCACTGAAGAAACTGTGCAAGCACCTGGTCAGCTGCTGCCCCCGATCCAACATTGCCCAACTCACCAGGCCTCCTTGGGCTTTTGATGTGTTCTCCAGGAGCTTGTTTTTCACTCCCAGAACCAGCTCTCCAGCCCTCTGTCCTTCCCTAAGCCTCATGCCCCAATAGTCCAGCTTTCTATGATCCCCTCAGGTTTCCTCCCTTCCCCTGCAGACCTACTGTGTGTATTACCACCCCACTTGCCCAAGGAGGCAGGCACTCCTCACCAGCCCACAGCCAGGCAGTGGCCAGATTCTACAAACTCCATACATGCATGGCCAAAACATGCACGCAGAAGAAGGAATGTGCCGAGGGAGACAGAGACTCGCCTACGGGCACTCGCCACCTTCCTAACACTGCAAGGTGTGTTCTTGTAGAGTCACTGTTCAGAGTTGTACTAAAACACCTAAGTGGGTCTATAGTCACCTGAAAAATAAAAGGTCACTCAGGAAGAGGCGGGACCAATGTTCTCAGATACCAGACTTGAGGTATCTTTAAAAGCAGATCTGAAAAATGGACTGACAGAGGAAAAGGAGTTTTTTTTTTCTTTTTTGGCACAACTGTGCTAAGTAAAGGACTGGGGAGATGAACTCTACTACTGGGGCACTGACCTTAAATCCTACCGATTCCAATATTGGATTGGAACTGAACAGTTTTCCTGTGACAGCTGAGAGCGACTTAATATTTTCAAAAAGAAATTTATGAGTATTGAAAGAGATCACACAAATACATCTGTGCAATTTCTAAACTGAATAGCAATCTGTAAATCATGTGAGCAGGATGGGGATGTGGGGAGCCTTGGTCTGAGGGGCGCTCCCACAGAACCCCCCTCTGGCCTGCACCCACCATCATGTGCGCCCCTGCGTCCGGGCGTGGTGGTGGGACTCACTGCTCCGTGAGGCCCAGGCCCTCTGCTCCCCCTGCCACCCTCCTGGCTCTGCAGACATCCTCATCCAACTGATCAAGGTGTCATGCTGGCAGCAGCCCAGGGAATGACCCGCCTGGCCAAAGCCTCGCAGTCCACCCTCTGGCACTGCGGCAGACCCCAGTCCTGGGAGGGGCCTTGCTGACTCCAGCCAGAACTCTGCGCCTGTCCCCGCAGCCTCGGCCTTCCTAGAGGGCTGCTGGTCCCTGCTCCTGCTCCAGCACCAGCTCCAGCTCCTGCCACCTCTCTTGCCCTGGCCCCGCCTCCGACTCCGGGAGGAGGGCTGGTGGTTGCATTCTTCGTTCTTCACTGACGAGGCCCTGCCAGCCTTGGGGGAGGCCTAGCAGAGCCCAGCCCTGGCAGAGGAAGGCGGGCTGGAGAAGCAGTGCAGCACAGGGTCCAGGACCCTGTAGAGGCAGGTGAAGGCCACGGAGCCACGAAGGCCACAGAGCCACCTGAAGGCCACGGAGCCACCGAAGAGCTGCATGCAAATGTGTAGGGCGCAGCAGGCTTGGAGGCGGAAGGCCGCTGTGGGAGCCGAGCCCACCACGATGGTGGGCAAGAAACTGATGGTGTAGACAACCGCCACCATGCCAGCACACGCATGGCCCTCCGCAGGTCTGCCTGCCCCGTCAGGCGGATGGTGACGCCAGTGCTCACGATGGCAAAGAGGATGAGTGCCAGGGACAGGAAGAACACCAGCATCAACAGCCTGGTGCCAGTGTGAAGGCTGAGGAGTCGGTACCCAGCTGGCAGCTTACGCAGGAGAGGTTGGAATGGGTATTCAGCGACATGTGTCCATTGAGGACCAGGCTGTCCCCCAGGGGCCTCCGGCCACCAAGCCTGGGTGGGCGCCCATACTGAGGCCCGGCTCAGCACCGGGTGGGGCCACACCACCTTCAGGTAGCGGTTGAGCGCAATGGCTGTGAGGTCAGTCACGCTGGCCGTGCGCTTGGTGGACAGCACGAAGAGGGTGATGTTGCAGGCAGAGGAAGCACCACTTCTGGAGAAAGTAGTCATCATGCACAGGGGCAGGCTGATGGTCAGGAGGAAGTCGGCGACCACCAGGCTGAGCGGGAGCAATGCGGGGTGTCCAGGGCCGCATGTGGGGTGTCCAGGGCAGCATGTGGAAGCAGAAGGTGAAGAGGGCCAGGCTGTTCCCCACCGGGCCCAGCGCCCACGCCCAGGCCTGGAACCAGGAGGACAGACAGGCTGGTAGTAGGGAAGGCCAGGCGCAGGTAGGTGAGGCCTCTCCAGGTGGCCCCAGTGCAGTGGTGAGGGAAAAGGAAGAGGCAGCGGAAGAGGGAGGGAAGGGCGGAGAGGTCAGGTTTTGAAATCCCATGGGCTGCTTGGGCTGTGGACCTGAGAAGTGCCAGTCTTTCTGGGTGACTCTTCTCTATTAGCTAACTACTACACAATGGCTCAACATCTGGGATTTCAGCCGTGTTCTCTGAGCCACTGAGCAATGCCCAGCGTCCCCATCTGCTGGAGCCTCCCCTTACTGTGTGACCTCCCTGTGGTCTCTGAACCCAGTCTGGGGTAGCCAGGGGTGGACTGTGCTGTCCCCGCGGGGGAGGAAGTAAACTCAGCAAAGGTGAGAGGGAGGCCAGACATGGAGGAAGGCCCCCCTGGGGGTACTGCTGGGTGTGTTTGCAGCCCTGATTGGTCAGACACTTCCCTGCCTGGAGGGTGAGGCTGGCCCAGACGCAATGCTCAGGATGGCACAGACCCTCGGGACAGCGGTCCCCCTCTGGGCACACCTGTGTGCATGCAGGCTGTCCCCAGCCCGCCCGGCAGCAGGCACTGTGGAGCCGGGGAGTGGGTCAGCACTTTAACCTTCAAGATCACAGCTTCCGGGGACCAGCCTGCTGCGTATCTGCAGGTTGGCTGTGGTTACTGATGGTCTGAGCTCTGTGCTGGTCCCAAGTCCGTGTGAGTGACATGCCATGGGCAGAGGGCTTGCTGACAAGTCCTGGTGCCATGCCCTGTGCCCTGCGCACAAACAGAACAATCCCAAGAACTTGCGCTTCCCTGCCTGCTGTCTGTGCCATGCTCTACTCCCACCACAGTCACTGCAGAGAGGGTTGCGGGAGACCAGCTGGCTGCAGACAGGTTCCTGCCCAGCTCCCTCGCTGTGTGGTGCTTTCACGAGCCTGCGGGGCTGGGCCTTTGGCTGAGATAACCCAGACAGTATCAAGAGGTTCCGAGACCTGCCACTGGCACCTGCCACTGCTTGTGGTGAGCGGTGTGCCATGGGCTCTGCTGGCCACACCCCACCTGAACAGGCCCCGGGGTTCAGGCACAATGGCCCCTGGACCTCTCCCAAGCGTCCTCCAAGAGCTTCCTGCCCTGGCTCCTGTCTGGCTGACAGGAGGGCAGATGAGCCCTGCAGGCGTCAGATTGCCGTCTGAGCGTGGGAAGCAGACAGGCCTGGGCTGGACACAGCTGCCTGCCGCCTGCCTCATGGGTAAAATGGGGTTCCGCTGCTTTCCTGGGGAGTTGTGAGGATTCAATAAGGTAACATCCGTAGGAACTTCTGGGGATTCCCTGGCACCCGGATTAGGCCTGCTCTTAGCATAGGGACACTGCTCTTTTTGTGACTTCTGGTCCCTGTCCAGGGACCTCTCCAGGATACCCTGACATCCTCTTCTCAACTGCCATGGGGGGCATCACTCTGCCCTCACTGCCCTGGACTGCTTTCAAGTTTGGGGGTTGCTGGCAGTGTTTTTGTTTAGCTTGAGGAGAGGAGGAGCTTTAGGGAACGATGTAGGTGCCCTTGTCGGAAAGTCTTTTCACGCCAGCTTCTCCCCTGACCAGTGACTGTGGGTTTTGGGGTTCAGAGGAAGCAAGCCAGGGCTCAGGCCCCAGGATTCTGGAGGGGACTGTCACTGGAGCCAGGAACCTGTGCCATCCATGTCCAGCTTACTCACCGCAGGTGTGATGCCACAGCTGAGACCACACCTCTACCTGTCTGCTCGCTGCTGCTTCTGAGGCCCCGGTGTGCCAGACTCAGGAGCACCCCATGTTTCCCCGGTGTGCCAGACTCAGGAGCACCCCATGTTTTTGGACGTAAGAGAGTTGATGGAAAGATGAGGCTGGACACCTCCCAAACCCCCCCCCCAACCCCCACCAACACCACACACACCAAGCTCCCGATATGCCTTCATGCCTCTCAGTGCTGATGACGACACCTTCAGGTTAATAGTGATTAATCTTGAGGGGGGAGATTTGGTGTCTTCATATATTTCAGTTTTCTGCACAAATCACTCATGTTATTTGGTGTGGGGGCAGGGTCAACAAGTACTCTGTCTTTTAGTTACATAAAAGAGTATAAATGGGGCCCTCCCTGGTGTCGCAGCGGGTTAAAGCACAGCACTAAGAAGCTAAAGCCACTTCTGCATGAGTTCGATTCCCACCTGCCCCGGAGGTGACCACATGGCGCGGCAGACCTCTCCTGACCCGCCCGCTGCACCCCTCAGCAGTGTACTTCCTCGATCTGCCTGTTCTGCTCCCCGCTCTGTCTCTGGTGAAGCCTCTCACCGCCCCTGCACCTCTGGCCTGTACCCCAGTTCTGTATGCATAAATAAATAAATCTTAAAAAAAAAAGAGTAAATGGGGCTGGAGAAAGAGAACAAGCCATGGAGCCTGTGTGGCTCAGGGCCACACGGTGACGAGAGCCCTTCCCAGCAGGGACACGGAAGCAGAATCGCCACACATGCAGGACCCCGGTGTCCCAGAACCCCACAACACAACACATGTACACACGTGCACACACACAGCATGGGTTGGCCAGGAACAGTGGCCCGTGTCATGTGCCCACAGATGTTGACTGGTCAGAAGACTTTATTGAGGCTCCTTGGCGGCAGGCGGTGCTGGACTCCGCCGTGGGGCAGAAGGCTGGAGAGGCAGCCCGGGGAGCCCATCTCCCGGCAGAACTGAGCAGGGTAGTTGCTGAGGGTTTTAGAGGAGAAGGGGAGCTACAGGCACCCCAGGACCTGGCACTCAGGGAGAGGACAGGAGGAGGATGAAGACAGTGATGGGCCCAGGGCCGGGGACATGGAGTCACTTAGCAGCAGTATGGGAGATGCCACCAGGAAGGGGTGGCATCTGAGCGAGCTCTTTATCAGGGTGGCGCTTGGGCACACCCTTGTCTGCTTTGGGCCCCCAGCAGGAGGATCACCCCAGGGGTTTCTTGTGGGCCGGGTCCTGGGTCACAGACAGGGCCACAGAGCCTTGTGCTCGCTCCCAGGAGTACCTGCGGACAGGGGTGGGCAGGGGTGAGAGAGGCTGAGCCCTACGGACCCAGGGAGGACAGGAACCCTGCAATTGGGCAAGTCCTCTGTGTACTCACGAAGTCCCTGCTGGCACCAAGAGGCTGTCATCGGGGGTCAGACTCAAGCGCTGTCCCGCCATGGTCACCACTGAGGAGCCCCCCTGGGAAGCAGGAGCAGGGAGTTAAGTGGAGGCTTTCAGACCTTAACATTTACCCCAAAGCCCCTGGGAAGGGGGCCCTGGAGTCGGTCCCGCTGTGGACCCCAGCTCAGAAGCAGCCTGGTTCCCGTGGGCAGGAGGTAGTGTCACCCTTCCCCCAAGTGCCACTTGCCAGCTGCCACAGCCACACATCCACGTCCTGTCTTGGGCCTTTGCTGCTGCCTTGTCCATGGACGATCACCTGGTGGGAAGTAACACAGATCCCCCCCCCCTTTTTTAATATAATGTAATAGTTTATTTTTACATAATTTTGTGCATTTTTCCATCTCAGTTGTAATCCCCATGGGCTTCCCATCACCAAATCACCCGTGTGCCATCACCATAGTCCAGTGCACTTCACACCCCCACCCCGTTTTTGATCCTATTCCCCACACCACCCCCACAAAATGTCTCTGGTATATAGCTGCTCATCATTATCATAATTGTCTTGCCTGTCCCATTATATTCCTGCTATGAGAGAAACCATCCGGTATTTTTCCTTTTCTTTCTGGCTTATCTCACTAAGCATGATCTTTTCCAGCTCCATCCATGTTGCTGCAAAAGGCATGTGTTTCTTTTTTTTTTTGGTTGCTGAGTAATATTCCATTGTATATATGTACCACATCTTTTTAATCCAGTCATCTACTTTTGGACATTTGGACAGTTTCCCCATCTTTCCAATTGTAACACAGATCTTCCTGGTGCTTCCTGCCTTACCCGGGAGATGCCCTTGAACCTGACCCCAGATACCAGGCCTATGTGGGGCTGGGCAGGGCCTGCAACACCACCTGATTGCTGTGTGTGGCGCAGAGACAGGACTTGGAGAGGAAGGGGGCTCAGGCCACAGGGCTTCCAGCAACTTCCAGCAGACAGGGCCACCCACCTGCTATTCAGGGTCACACAAGGCAGACTCTGCCCACAGGCACATCTGCTCCCTCTGGTGCCCATCACAGCTTGACTGACCTAGATGAAACTGCGCCTGCCCGAGGCCTGCTAGGGCTGCACATGCTTATGCCCACAGCACAGTCCCGTGCTGCACATAATGTGCAGGCCCGTGGGCACACGCACATTAGCTCTCCAGACCATGCTCACTCTTCTCCATGAGATGTTTCAAATCTGGCCCAGGGAGGAAAGTGGGAAGGACTGAGCCAGGGTCAGCGTGAGGCTGACCCCTCTGATCTGCACTGACCGGGAAGCCCACAAGCTGCCCTCCCACTGGGCAAGACAGGTTTGTTGGTCCAAACAGAAGCAGGAGGCAGAAGGCAGGGCCACGGGCCTGCAGAGGCCTGAGTGATGAGGCCATGATGGGGGCAGCAGCTTCATGCTGCCTACTCTTATCTCTGTGTGAGCTGAGCATCTGCTGGCCAGGCCTCTACAGGGAGGGCCTGTGTCCAGTGAGCATCCCTCCCCTGGATGTTTTAGAAAATACCCACATGCCAGGCACATTTTAAGGTACAAAGCTAGCGGATCTCTAGCGTGCACACTTGCCTTCCCAACCTCACCCCCAGACACTGGACAGTGTGTGAAATGCGGCTCTGACCTGACACTCCCCTCTGCGATGCGTGAGTGAAACTACAGTCTCCAGGACAAGTTCTGATGCCTTTCTCAGTCACAGAGAACCTCAGTGGGCTGGACACTGCCTGCCTTTCTGGCTACCTAGAAATCACACCTCCTTTTCTGGCTCCTGCCAACATCAACTCCTTCAGTGCTAGCCTATTTTAAGCCTCCATGCTTGTGCTCATATTTTCCATAACCTCTCCCTCTCCCTTTCCTCCACTTGCAAATTTCTATGTTAACATTTCAGTGTAGGTTTATGTATCACCTCCTCCAAGAAGCCTCCCCTGACTTCTCTCCTACCCTGTATTTTTCCTTTATCTTCATACGGCTTCTCAGAGCATCTCCCACAAGTAGTGTATCTATCACAACGGTGGCAATTGCTGATTAATTTAGCTGTTTACCAGATCATATGCTCTGTGATTTCATCTTGTTTCCCTACAAAATCTGAAACATGGTAGGTGCTACATAAATGCTGAATGAAAGCAGACCAGCTTTACTTGGGTCTTTGTTTGTTGGTACCCAGCCCTCAAACACCTTTCTCCCTCCGGTTCCCAAGGCTGTGACTAGCCAAAGACTCACACATTCCTGGGGGCGGGGGGTAAACCCAGGACCTGTCATGGATGGGCGTCCCTACTCTAACACAACACAGCCTGAAAGATTGCCTGGGACCATGCAGCCTGCACAGACTTGCAGGAAAACAATGCTTCTCTCATCAGGGAGGAAATAGGGTTCCTGTGCCCATGTATACAACCGTCAAACCTGGGGTGTGTGTGTGTGTGTGTGTGTGTGTGTGTGTGTGATTAGTTTCCACTTCCCAGATAGCACAGGGCTGTGTTACCTGGGTCTCATAGCTGTCCCCAAACAGGCTGAGAGGTGTGCCTGCCTGCAGCTCCTTGTGGTGGCTGTTCAGCCAGGTCTCCAGGGACATGGGCTTCATGACGGACCGCGTGCTTAGGGGGAATGGTGGCTCCTTGAGCAGCTGGTCTGCACCGGCAACACAGCTGTGGTCAGTGAACTCTGGGCCCAGCCTGCCCAGCCACAGGGGGCCCAATTCCCAGGGCCACCCCCCCCCAACCTTGTAATGCTCTCTGATCCAGCTCAAGCAGCCATTCGGGGGCACGATTTGATGCCATCTCCTCATCACGTGAGTGCTAGGCAGAGTACTCCACAGACTACTCCCTGGTACTCTGGGCCAAGCCCCACCCAACCCTGGGAACAGCAGGAGGGAGGAAAGTAGGGAGAGGAAAAGGTGGTTCCCAGTGGCCTCACCAGGGATCGGCTTTCCAGTCTTGTATTGCTCAGAGTTGAAGAACCTGAGGGACAAGTGGGGGGAGGAGTGGGCAGCGTTTCTGTCTGAGGAATCAATGAGAGACACACACACACCACACACTCACACATTTCTCAGGTGCGCTCTTTCCCTCCCAACCTAATGGAGCAGCCTCGTCTCCTTTCCAGGATCATCCCAGGATCCTATATCCTAGGTCTGATGACTGCAGGCTGGCGGGTATTGGGGTGCACTGCTGGGGTGGGTCATCTCTCCCCACCAGGAGCACAGGCCTCCGGCGAGATGGGACAGGGGCCGGGGACTCACTCCTGGATGATGGGAGCCAACTGTGTGCCGAGGTCCTCGCAGTAGAACCACTTCTCAAATAGGACATCTGTGGTGTCCCCCAAGTAGTACCTGGCAGAGCAGAGACCAGAACTCAATTGCCCACCTGGGCAGTCTCCTCAGGCCTGGCTCAGCCTGTGGCCCTCTGGGCATTGACCATGCAGAGCTGTTTACGTTTACCTGGCTGCCTGTTTACCTGTTAGCAGCACAACCTAGTGGTCAACACGCACCCCCACACCTGCTCTCCTAGACACAAGAGTAACTACAGCCAAGTGGGAGGGCTCTTGCCGACCCCATCCGCATAGCGGGTTCCTCAAACTTGACTATTTACAAAGTGGAGAGCGCTCCGAGGCCCCACAAAGCAGCTTGGCAGGGCGTGCAGGGCCTGTCTGAGCAGAGGCCTCAGGCTCTCAGTCCTACAGGTGCAGAGGGCACGATGACAGGAGGCCTCGATTTTCCCAAAGAGGGAGTGGGGCTGAGCTTCCAGCAGGAGCAGGGAGCAATGAGAAGCCAACGTGGCGAAGGTGCCACTTAGGGATTGCGGATGCCACTGAGAACTGGATCAAGGGGCTGCCTCTCCCCAGAGGAGGCCCATGTGCGTGTACAGCTTCTGGTAGATTCCCTGAGGTCCACCCCAGCCCTCAGCCTTGCTTGGCTTCACCACTGGCTGTGCCTCAGACTCATCGGCGTGCTGGGAGTGTTTGTTGACTGACTCTCTGTTCCTGGGGCACAGTGCCCGGGGCCAGGGGTCTTTAGCTGGTGGAGGGTTCCGGGGCCAGGCCAGGGGTCTGCTCCTCATCTCCTCCCCAAAGGAGACTGGGCCCTGCTTATGGGGTATGGCTTAAAGACACACCACGCAGCCACACCCACCCAGCAGGCTGAGTGCTATCTGGGATGACACTGGCCACCAGAAAGCTTTATAACTGGATTGAGGTGCCCTCCAGGAATCGCCTTCACAGTGGCATTTTAATGTTGAGTCCTGGCTTTTATTAAAGGTCAAAGGCAGTCAGATGATATCTGTTATTGACTTTTTGTCAAAATGTTACCGGGGACACTATCCTCCCTATCACTAAAAACTCCCTATATAAAGCCCCCTGTGAAAATTTCTTTTAGAACTGAAAGCCAGGCATCTGTATCTACAACAGACTATTATGTACAGATTAAAATGGAATCATTAACATAGTGTCTTTTTGAAAAGCACTTACTAATGGGAGAAATACTCATGAGTATTTTAAGGAAACAAAACAAGACCCAGAGACCCAGACATGCCGTAAGACTGGAAGGTGTAAACTGTAGATATGTGGAGAAAAATGAAAAATAGAAGTGAAAGTGCTTAATGAGGTTTAATTGGATGATGTATTTTTGCTTTTCTCTTTATTATTGTTTGTTTTGTGTTATTGAGCTGTCCCTCACATACCATAAAACTCACCCATTTCCTGACAAGTAATTTTAGTTTTGTTCATTTTGCTTTCTTGTACTTTTCCAGATTGCAAGATGGAATGAGGATGACTAGTAGTTAGAAAACAGGGAAGCATTAACAAACGTCCATTGTGTGGGAGACGTGGGACAAAGTCTGTGATCCTAGCAACTTGGTGGGAAAATTCATTTTCTTAGTTAAAATATACCCCCAAAATGGTCTAAATTTTGGAAAAACCCTTGTCCCCCAGAGTCACAGACTTCATCCTCCTTTCTGAAGATAATAATGGGGTGACTGATCAGAACCAAAGGGGAAACCAGCCACAGGAACGGTGTCCTCTCCTCGGCGCTGACTCACTCCTGTCTAGACTGTCCAGCCCTACCTCGTATTTCTCTCTAACACCAGCCCTTTCTAGCAAACTCTTCATCTTTCTCTCAAATGCCAGTCCTCGCCGGCAAATTTGACTTCTCCGCTCAGTTTCTCTATCAAGGACAGATGAAAACAGCACCGACCCCGTAAGATCATGATGAGTGAGGATTAAATAAACAAACACGCACGCAGCGCTCATTCTGGTGCCCAGCACAAGCAAGCACTACACAAATGTTACTGCTGCTGTTGCTGCTGCTGTTGGGGGAAGAGCGCTGAAGCAAGCAGAGACAGGCACTGGTGGAGACAATAAACACGGAGGTGGGTGGGGAGGATCCCTCCCGGCACAAACCTCCTGGGTCTACCCTCAAAGTCCCACCTCCACCCCAGCAATCTCAGTGCTGAGGCCTATCCAGAATGTCTTCAGGCTAAGTGGGCTCCAGGGTGTCACAGAGAACTTTCCAGCGCCCCCCAGACCCTACCAGGAAACCCAACTCACCACCGACCCAGCTTCTCCCCATCAGGCGACAAGCTCCCTGTGGCCTCAGCCCTTGCAGGGGGCAGGAGGTGCTTTTCTGGGTCTATCTGGCATTACTCCTTTCCGTTGCTTCTCTCCCCCACCCCCACTCCCACACTCGACCCATTTACCTGAGGCCGTCTAGCTCGGATTGCAGTCGCCTCCGTTCTATCACCAGCCCCACGGTGTTGGCAAACCTCTGTGGAGAGTGGGGGACCCCGGCAGGAAGGAGGAATATCTGCAAGGTGGGGACCAGGGGTGAGCCAGGCTGCAGTCCCTGCTGGAGCCCTCAGTGCTAGCTGTGTCCTGGCCTCCCTGTGACCCACAGGGTCCAACAAGGCCCAGCCCACTGCTCAGCCTCTCCCTGGGAAGCGGGCGAGAATGTCAGGTGTGGAGGAGGCAGCTGAGAGAAGTGTCTCAGGATAGGCCAGGGTGGGTGGCTGCGCAGGAGGGCAGGAGAAAACCGGGAGGACAAGACCTCAGTGGACCAGGGTGAATGGACACTGAAGGCCCCTCTTGTGGTAGCCTGTGGCCTCCAGCCTCTGGGGGTGCAGCCTCACCTCTCCCTGCCGGATGACCACATCCCGGTGTTTGCCTTGCTCCAGGACTTGGAGAACCATGTCACCTTCCAGCTGGTAAAACACCTGTGGGAAAACAGGTAAGTGTGGGCCCTTCTCACTCCCACCTCCAGGCCCACCGCCCACACCCTTAATTCTAACCAGGAAACCAAAAAAATCTTCCTGAAGGTCTTGGGGTTCATGAGCAGCTCCCTCACTCTTGCCTTGAGGCCCCAACCTCTCCTGAGCCAGGCCACAGACAGGAGTGTTGGGGACACCGCAGGACCACATCCTGACACACAAGGAATGACCAGAGTATCCAGGACACAATAGTTGGTGCCTGGCAGGGGGCAGGAGGCTGAGATGCTCACTGGAGAATTCAGGGCCTTCCACCGGCTAAGGAGAACCACCCAGAGCTGTGTGCTGGCAGAGAGCTTCACAGCCGCCTGAAGGTATTGTTACCCCTTGTGCAGAAAAGAAAGAGAGAAAACAGGCAAAGCAACGCACCCAGGTCACACGGTGAGGACTGTGTGCGGCTCTGGGAACAGTGCTGGCCGTCTGGCCGCAGTGGTGCCCGGCAGGGGCTGACCCTATCAAAGGTGGACTCAGTGATATTGGGAGCTGGTTTGGCTTGGGGGCAGTGAGGGATAGGAGCACCGCCCCAGCCGCCCCCCCCCACCACTGCATTTTTCCTATCTCACCCCAAGTCCCAAAGTACTGTGCTTACTGAGATCACCCCAGGGAGCTGAGAGGAGGAAGGGGACATGTCTTCTCTCCACCAGTCGCATATTACATGGGTATTAAATGCCCCAGCCAAATAAGTTGTGTTACATGTCTTTTGCAGCAACTTGGATGGAGCTGGAAAAGATCATGCTT